TTTTAACTCGAGAGCTTTCGAATTTTAATAAATTATTGAATAAACTTATTGCGGACTATGTTAATCATTATTTTAAGAACCTATATGTATATAGGCTAATATATATACATATGCATATATGTAAATACATATGTATATATGTAAATACATATGTATATAAGTGGGGGAGTATATATAGACAATGAAAATTTAAACAGTTTTATTGATTCTTCTAATTAATTTTTACAAAGGTGAAAAAAATATATAATAAAATAGTAAATAAAGGGTATATGAAGTGTAGGGGAATATAAGGTTATCGTGATATTCCTGTGGAAGGACTGACAGGTCCGAAAGCTAGAGAATAAAATATTTGAGCAAGAAACTTAGCCCTGGAGACTTTATTTTCTTTATAATATATATAGTTGGGTATGTGTACAAATTTCTTCAGCAAGGAAGGCTTCCCCACCCCATGAGTATATATAGAGAGAAGACATAGTGACCAAACCCCACCAACACCCACCCGAATGGAAACATGGAATGCTGAATAAATCATTCCTAGATCCCATCTCATTTTAATGCCGTAGGCATTATAGGAAAACGGGCGTCATTTCCGTTCAGTTGTGATTTATTGCGACCTAGGGAGAAATCTTATATTTCTCTCTCTCCCCTTTATAATTCTATTTCCCTCTCTCCATCCCATTGTAGGTGTGTGAGTAAATAAATATTTACTACACGCTTGCTACTGTAGTATAATCCTTTTAGTATAGCTGCCTAGTATTCCATTCTATGTTTTATAACGGATTTATACTGTGAGGTAGATGTAATATAATATTCGCCTGGCCGGCATTTATATTTCTTGAAAATAAAGATACTTCGGCCTGTAAATATTTTTATTACCTCGACGTTTCAACAAAAAGCGTTTGTCTTCGTCAGGAGCAAACAAAAATTCAAACATTTGGCAAGGGGTTAAAAATTTTAATTTTTGTTTGATCCTGACGAAGACAAAAGCTTTTTGTCGAAACGTCGAGGAAATAAAATATATTCTAGCCGAAGTATCTTTATTTTCAAGAAATAATATTCATTATTAAAATCAACAAAATGTATATCCTGACCACGTTTATATGAACTTTTAGATGGCAGAGCGCCATCTAGTAGAACAGAAATCAACTAAACGTTGATTTAGCCTATTCCTTGATATTTGCCCAACCCACTTTCTTTATAAATCAAGGAAAGTCAACCACAACCGCGTTTCATTATTTACTTTATTGATACATATTCAAGACGAAATGATAATTATATGAAAAATAGTACAAAAGTTAAAATTTGTGCTAGCATCAGGATGATCGATTGAGAAAAAAGTTTATCTTGATTGTGTGACTGAAAGATAATGATGACTTGCGCCATCTTTCAAAATTAATGTCAACTAATCGCGTTGATTTTCAATTGTGTGTATGGTTGGTTTTTCTTTATCAAATAAAAAAGAGTATTCGATCAATATTAAAGAAAAATTAAAAAACAACACAATTAGTTGCTTTTTATTCCTACAGATACCGCAAGCAATCAATAACTTCCAGTTGTGTTAGAAGAGAAAATTGCTATGAGGTATAAAATAAGAATAATAACAGTAGCAATGCGTTTCTATATTCTTGGAAAGTACAAGCTTTCGGATCTTTATAATCCTTCTACAGAGAGGCATAGCTTGTGTGTGAATGATCAGTAGGGAAGTTTTTCATAAACCTCAAATGTCAAGAACCTATTTATTACTAAGAGAAAAAATAAATATTAGGCATTTCCTTCAGAGCAACTCACAAGAGGTGAGAAGATTACACTTAGATGATACTTAAATCAAACTTTTCTAAATATTAGAATTTAGTGAATTTAATATTTATATTATATATATTATAATATTTTAAACATAATATTTTTAAATATCACGGAGCAAGCTTAATAAACGCTTAGTTTCATTTTGCTCCACTAGATGGCGCTCTGCCATCTAAAAAGCACATGTGCTCGTGGTCAGGAGATGCCTTCTTCATTTTTAAAATACTATATATATATAATTTTTAAAGAGAGAATGTATGATAAATAAAATAATATTTGAATTTTCTTATCGAATTACAAATTGTTGATTTCAACTTTGAATAAATTTGATGCCTTCACTTTGATATCCACTTAGTGAAAATTTCAACCCGTTTGATTGGAAAAGAAAATACTAACTCCAAAACTGCGGACAATGCTAATTTATATCTAGAATTTTATAACATCATATGAAAAGGATAATAGATAAGAACTGGTTATGTGTGGGAAAAAAAGAGATATGCAAATATTTTAAATAATACTTCCTCTTTCCTTCTCTCTCGGTTTTACTCACTAATTATATATTCATAAATGATAATATTTATTACGAGGTAATAACAAGCCATCTAAATTCAAGGAATAAAACCGCCAATGAAAAATTATTAGGAGGGCTTGGATCATGAGTGGTCAACCCTCCCAGCGATTTCACCAATTCAATCTACCAGACCGCGCTTATTTTAGAGATCAAATACTGCCTTCAACGATTCTGCTTATATATGCGATACTACATATTGAAATCTTAGTTATGAAATTCAATAGAAAACATATGCACACATTAGTTTTTAGGACAATAAAACAAAATACAAATATTTGCAATGAGCTATGAAATTACGCGGGCTATAAGGACAAGGTTAGTAAGGCAAAATACAAGGCAATAACGAGCCATCTATATACCATTGTTCCATTTCCATTATGTATATATGTATGAATACATATATACCATCATATATATATAGGAACTGCAATGCTTACACTGACTGAGTTTGATTTATACTCGAAAATTATCACGTATTCGGAAAGGACCAAACACACAAACACATTCTGTCGTTATAATTGAAAGGGTTCGTTCCAACGACAGACACTACCAAAATTAATGGAGTTAACGCTTCTGCAATGTCCTATTGCATACTTTATTAGCTACTCGTGCATCCTTTATAACCTACTCGTCCATACTTTATTTCTTAAGTGCCTCAGTAAACCAGAATGTTTGAGAAACTTGAGTATTCGGAGTTCTGCGAACATTGCTTTACCTCCAACTGAACATTGAACAAATTTGGTTTAAAATCCACAAAATATAGGATACATCTCACCTTTGTATTGAATTTATATATACATGATGAGTATTGATCAGTATCCATATAGATTTCATTATCTTTAATTTTATACTAATGATGTTGAAACACACATAAAAGTTCCAGATAACCGTAATTTTGAAGTGAATATTAAAATATCTATAATTCAGAAATTTTTTTATCTTAATATAAACATATAAACCTGGACAGTAGAAGTGTGTATTGTGCATAAAAGAAACATTCGTGCTATTAAATCCTTTCATTTTATATCAACGTATTTGTTAAGATTTTCAAAAGGAAGAATAAAATTCAGGTAAATAATTTATTTCAATTTTGGTTTTGCAAGCTTTAAAGCAAATTTTATGCTCTTCAACGGGCAAATTTTTATGTACAATATCAAAATAATCTTATACAAAAATAATTGAAGAAGTGTGTTATTGGCATGTGCTCTCGTGGGCGTGCATCAGACTGTTAACAGCTAAAATAAGAGATATTATAATGGAATGAAATATACAGATACACAAACAATTAATAAACCAAAATTAAAAGAAAATTCTTTACCTGAATTTTATTCTTCCATTTTCAAATAGTTTTTGGGTAACTATTTCTCACATATTTGTTAAAATACTTAATATCATATTTTATTTGCATATAAAAGCACAATTTGTGCTAATAAGGAGATCTAGGTACATTATGTATTGATATATTTATAGAGAATGTGTCCTTTTTTTTTTAAATTTATATTGTCTATAATATAACTATTTATATCTTTTTTTTTTCTCCCAATTTAATTTTTTTTTTTTAACTTAATTCTCTTGACGTTATGTGGCGCTGAGTTTGTTGTTGGCACACATTAATATCTTATAATACCTTGATAAAAGTTGGCATTCAGCCAACTGAAATATTGGTAAAATAAATGATATTTTGATCCAATATATGCCTTTTTATTCAATGTCTATTTATTGGAAAAAAGAAATGGAGGTTGAAAGCCCAACTGACTATTTTATTAGGTTTTTTTGACACTTTTATATGATAATTTATTCATTCATGCTTTTTTACCTTTGAAGACTAGAGATTCCAAAATTAATTTAATATATTGACATGAAGATTGCATGTAACATCCTATAAGTTCCACTAGTAAACCGAATTATTTTCTGTTAAGAGATTACGGATTCCTAATCATGGTTTCATGCTCTTTTATTCCGTATTTATTCAACACTGATTCTTCATATGTAAGAAACAGAGCATTGTAATATTATCTGTGACGGTACCTTGACAAAACATAGCCATTATTCAGTTGCTATTCTGACATCGGAAGGTATTTAGTGTCTATAAAAAAACATTTTTAGCACAAACATTCTCTATATATCTGCAATTAAAAAATTATTAATTATAATATAAACATTTACAAAATATTCATATCATATTTTATTTGCACAAAATAGAGAGAGAGGGCACAAATAGTGAAGAAGGAGATATATAATGTATAAATTTATTTATATATTTATATTTATAATATAATAATATACGTAGAATATGGGTATTTTAGTTATCATATAGAAATCAATGAAAGACCAATGTGGGTATAGTCTATTTTATTATTCCTCTCATTGAAACTTCAAATATGATAATTTATTTAATAAATTTATAAAATTTAATGTATCACCATTCGAATAATTCCAGACTAATTTATATAGCTGCTTTAGTTCGAATCGAATTTTGAAGCTATAATTTTAGTTTGTATTTTTGTTTAAATTTAGTTAGTAGCAAAAAGGCAAGAGTAGTTTGTTGTAGTATTAGTAATGTTCAATGATTTATTTCTTTGTATACATAGGAGACACTTAATGGTTTAGAGATACAATGTATACACTGAAAAAAAACTGAATTCATATAGTATAATTAATGAAAAATGTTGGCGTTTTCAGCAAACTGAAATATTAGTAATAATTTTTGAAAGTAGAGAAATCCATAAATAAATATTTTATTAAAAAAGGTATATAATTGTTGACACACATAAAATATGTTATAACACCTTGATAAACGTTGGCGTTCATCCAACTCAAATATTGGTAAATGATATTTTATCCAATATATACCTTTTTATTTGTGAATAATTAAATGAATGAATCACACACACATATAACCTACGACGTATATGAACATAAAATGGGTAGTTTTTATTATATTTTGTGAAGTTAAATGAAGTATAAAAGGTTTTTCCTAGTTTTATTCTCTCTGTATACTTCACAAAATTCTACAGCTCAACTTTGTATACCCAAGTGAATCCCTTTATTCTATTTCAAGGGAAAGAATCCTTATATTTACTGGAAAATGTCTTCAGTAATGGAGATTGAATCTACTTTAAGTAGACTCATATCGTATTACCCACCACGTCCTGGTCGATATAGCGGCGGAATAGAACAATTTAATATTTTTGGAATCCTTTCTCTAGCTGTCATATCAACTAAAACTCTAGTTTTTTCATATATTGTCAAATTGAAAGAGATTGTAAATATATATATTCTACAATAAGCAACTTTCCTTTCTGAAATTACTATAGAATGTTTTCATTTGATAAATATACGCAGCTTGAGATGTTTCTGTTCAGTGAATATGTCACAAAATCAACTTGGTTATCTGATATGTCTTCAATAAAGGTCATCGTGTATCAAATATCTTTCAGAATTATTGTCTGAATCCCGATATACATGCTAAAAGTACAACTTCCCTAATTTTTGTCCATGAGTGTAGTTATCTCGTGTGTCTTCAATAAAGGTCACTGTAATATCTTTCAGAGTTATTGTCTGAATCCCGATATACATGCTAAAGGTACAACTTCCTTAATTTTTGTCCATGAGTGTAGTTATCTCGTGTGTCTTCAATAAAGGTCACTGTAATATCTTTCAGAGTTATTGTCTGAATCCCGATATACATGCTAAAGGTACAACTTCCTCAAATTCTGTCTTCGAGAGTGTGAATCTATAGTTAGATGCAGTTAATACCCGAAATTTTCATCGATTTCTTATTGGGAAGAGTTTTCATTCTATACACACACACTTTTTTATAATAAATCTTATTAAATAATAAAACTTTAATTTTTGGGGTATATTAATATTTTAAACTATTATTATATACGTCTGAATAGTAAGCTTCTGAGAGAAACATGATAGAAAAAATCAAAGTATTCTGAAAATTTTCGAAAATATTTATTAAAAATAAAATTTATAACAAAAAAAATATGGTGAATTCATACAAATATTATATGTCCCAAAACCTTTTAAGATGTTATAATATTATGTGCAGAGAGAGAGAGTATATGCAGAAATAGGCAGTAAAACTGCACCAAAACAAAGTATTTCTTCATCTTCTATGATAAAATCTCACAGAAAAATATCTATATTTTTTTTACAAAAATGAGCCCATAATTATCTTCCACTTACAAAATAAAAATATAGAAACCTAAGACCCAGCACTGATACCTGAACCTCTACTCTGGGTAATTGGTAAGAAAAAGGAATATTTTGTTCAACATGGAAAATGATTTGGTGTTTGGGATTTTTTGAAAAATATAGTTTTCATCAACCGCTCTTTATACCATTCAATTTATTTTCCTCCTTTCTTTTTTTTTCGACATTTTAGCGTCTCCCTGAAACGTTCTTAAAGGAAAATCTATTATTGTATTATTGTTTCTACTTATATTCACTATATACTAAAATACTGAAAATTTTCAACTATTTATATATACCGAGTAAAAGAAGAAAAGAATATTATGTAATCTTTAATTAAAAAGGCATATATTGGATCAAAAAATCATTTATTTTACCAATATTTCAGTTGGCTGAACGCCAACCTTTATCAAGGTGTTAAAACATATTTAATGTGTGTCAACAACAAACTCAGCGCCACATAACGTCAACAAAATTAAGTTTTTAAAATATTTTGTTATATTCAATGGGGGGAAAATGAATATTATATATAGTAGGAAAGAAAAAAGGAATCCCCTTATCGTGTAACTGAAAGTTGCTGATGTCTTTCAGTTGAACGATAAGAAAATGCTTTTTGTTTCTCTCTTAATTTATGCACCTTATCCCAATACAAAATCACATTTGTACTATTTTTTTCACATTATATATAGTTTAATTAAAAAGGCATATATTGGATCAAAAAATGATTTATTTTACCAATATTTCAGTTGGTTTGAAAGCCAACCTTTATCAAGGTATTATATCATATTAATGTGTTTCAACAACCTATTAAATATATATGATTTTTTGATCCAATATATTCTTTTTAATTGAAGATTTATTTATGGATTGCTCTATTTTCAAAACAAATTATATATAGTGTTTTGTAAAATTAATTTAAAATAATTATATATAAGGATAAACTCAAAAGGTATAAACATAATTTTAACGATAACATATATTTTTACTTTTAAAATAAACTCTATAACAAAAATATCGACGCACCAAGAAACAGTTGTCCAATTTATATGAAAATACGTATACAAAGAGGTTTCGACCAAACATGCAAATGATTGAAATTTGGTGGCCGATTTATGCAAAGCAAGAGCTCCAAAGCATCTGAACTGCGCATCCAGCACGAGCATTCTAGACTCAATATTCGGCGCGGCACGAGCTGATTTTCATAATTTCCTTTTAATAATTTAGCAATACGCCTATTTCTACTGTATCAATGCCTCGCCGAAAGATTCGTGCTCATTACGAACATATGTCGGAGTTTGAAACTGGTCGTGCCATTGGATTGAAAGAGGCTGGTTGGTCTAATCGACTAATCGCGCGACATCTGTGTCGAAGTGATGCGGCTATTAGGCCATGTTGGCAAAAGTGAGTCAACAACGGAAATATGCAACGTCAGGACGGCAGCGGTCGACCAAGGGCAACAACAGAACGGGAGGACAAAACAATTGTCAGAATGGCTGTCGCAGCACCGGAATCCACGTTATCTACCATCCAACGTGTGACCGGCACACAAGTGTCCAAAATGACCATCAACAGGCGACTGAGAGAGTGGAATCTAAGAGCTCGCCGACCGTTACGATGTCTACCCCTCACACCCGTGCACCGACAAGTCCGACTACAGTGGTGTCGGGAGCGATCAACTTGGAACTGCGCTGACTGGGGACGTATAGTCTTTAGTGACGAGTCCCGTTTCTTACTGTGTCCTGACGACCGTCGCAAACGTGTCCGGAGACGTCCTGGGCAGCGTGTGGATCCTGGTCTTACTGTCGAACAGCACCCAGGTCCACAACAGGGCGTTATGGTCTGGGGTGCCATTTCATTTGATAGCAGGACCCCATTGGTAGTCATTCCTGGCACCCTGACAGCACAACGGTACGTAGATGACATTCTACGGCCTGTTTTGTTGCCGTTCCACTCACATCACCCGGGCTTACTTTTCAACAAGATAATGCCCGGCCACACACGGCACGTGTTACTATGGATTGACTTCAATCTTGCCGAACTCTTCCGTGGCCAGCAAGGTCGCCTGATCTCTCGCCCATAGAGCACATCTGTGACGTGATGGGAAGGCGATTGCAACCATCCCGAAATGTTGACTATTTAGCCCGACAGTTGGAGACAATTTGGCAAGAAATCCCGCAACACACCATCCGGAATCTTTATCAGTCCATCACACGCCGAGTGGCAGCCTGCATCCAGGCCAGTGGGGGTCCAACGACATATTGACATTCTCAATTTGTGACAATCAAACTCTGAAATAAAACAATTAATTGTTCTGAAATTTTAATCGTTTTCCCCCTTATATATGCTCTTTATATACACCAAATTTTGTCCTAATCTGACAACCACTTCTTGGTGCGTCGATTTTTTTGTTATACAGTGTATATTTAATTAAAATTATATTGCTACAGCCCTTATTCTGCCTTTATTAAAAATTGAATGAAGGAGGGCAGAGCATCCTGTAAAATCATGAAACGGGTAGTTAAGGCCAGAATTGCGTGAGACCGCGAAACAATGTGAAAAAAATAGTACAAATGTGATATTATCACAGTACAATGTCATATTTGTACTATTTTTTCGAATTAATATATGTTTTATTTCTAATCTTCCTTATTACACCAACATCAAGCATTCAATATACAGACAAATTTACAAACCATACTCATAAATTTGAAAAAATGTTTGTGAAATTTATATTTAATTTCAAATATTATTTTATATTTCATATAAGATGTGCATATAGTATACTTCCTTATAAAAAAATCAAATTATCACAAAAAACATTGTTAAAACTGAAGATAGAAACAGAACTGTATTAACTTTAAAGATATTTCAACGAATATATAATCTATATCTAAAGGAACGTTAAAACAAAATCGCAGATTTTCGTGGGTACAAATCGATTTTCTCCACTAAATGAGATCTTTTAAAATACTGTTATAAATATTTATGAAGTCAAAATAATATTTTGCGGACAATTTTGCTTGAAAGAGAGGCAAGCTGGCTTGCTTTGATGATACATTTACCAACATTATGCAGGACACATAAAGAAAGGAAATTAGTTTAAAATCCCATTAGACACTTTCTACATTCCATTTTATAGCATTTCTCTCCGTTGATTTTCAGGATTATATATCTACAGAATAATATATTAACTGTATATATTGAAAATGGCGTTAAGGAATATATTGTTTTGAGAATATATAAAATAAGTTGTAATAAATTATAAATGAATATATAGAGTTGAGTGTGGTGTAATATCGCCAGACAAATTACAAAGTCGAAAAATAAGATATCGCATACGTCAAGGGACCATATACCTAATAGTTTATTCAATTACGATTATTTTTCAATCAATTAATTTTCACAATAAATTACCATAATATTAATTTACAGTGTCAAAGCATTAAGATGAATATAGAAGTGTTTTATAATAATTTATATTACAGATTACTATTTGTAGATTAAATAATACGATATATTATACCAAAAAGAAAACTCTTTCACTTTAAAATGCATTAAGCCAATGTATTTTTATATGGATAGGTGTCTCTTTTGTCGCATAAATATCATTCTCTAGCAACTTTACATTATGAAATGAATTATATAAAACTATGAAAAAATAGTACAAATGTGATATTGTACTGGGATAAGGTGCATAAATGGAAATTGAAATGGTTAGTATACGCTTCCTGTGGATATTACACTTGAAAGATAAATAAATCCTACCAGGCTAGTCTCCAGGTGGTGGATAAGGGAACGATCATCAGATATGGTGGTGATTTTTAAATACAATGTTCGATCAAAAAGTAACCAAACCTTCAATAATTCAAGATTTGAAATTAAATATTAAAAAAGTGTTATTTATTTTATAATATAGGCCCCCTAAACAACAAATAAGACTGACAACACTGGTAATAACGGATGCGCAAATCTCATTGTAGGAAGATAAAGGTTATTTGTTTATCGCTCGCGTTCGATTTTGTAATGTCTGCTTTTAAACAAAGAGCTAACATAAATTTTTTTTTTAATTAAATAAATATTTAACTCTCAGACCACTACATGTATCTTTTTATCTGTATTAGGTCGTCAATCTCATATATCAATACATTTCTTACTGTTTTTCAAGACTATATAATCAACAATAATTTAATAGTAACATATCCAAGTATTTTTATTTCCAGGAAAAAAATATATATTAAATTCAATACCTTTTGTAGATATATTTTAAATTATATAGCAACAAATATCTTTTAAGAAACTGATAATTTATATTATACAGAACTTTTTCTTGTTTTTTCTCTCTTTCTCATTGTTAATATCACATGACTATTCTATTCACGGCCTAAAATTATTGTATATTTATGTATAGACAAATGTAGAGGCATGCATGAATGACAGCGCAAGTGTCCCTAGGGGGACATAGCGCTTTAAATTGAAATAAAATAAAATCTCATATATTTTTAAATATATTTTTATCATTATTCAGTCAAGTAACGGTTAGAGGTTTTTACCAATTCGAATTCGAAAATCGAATAATGCGTTAGGTATGTGATCAAATATCCAGTAGAATGTTAAGAAGCAGTTAGGATTCTTCAGGTAGATTTGAAAGCCTTTTTATATTTTGGTTTACAAATTTAAGGGAATCAGAAGAATTTGAGAATTGAATTAAATCAGCCAGGTATGAAACCATGTAATGGTCAGCAACAATGGTATCAGTTTCCATAGTTAAGATCAAGCTTATCTGAAGCTAAGTCGGACTTCCACGGGGGTTTTTTAAGATTATTTTAAGCAACCGAAGATAAATATTTATTTATTAAGAAGAATTCATCAACTTCAAAATACTTCCTCGATTTCTGCCACTGAAATAAGATATAATAATATAAAAACAGAATTTGAATCAATTTCTAATATTCATTTATAGATTATTCAATAATTAAAAAGGCATATATTGGATCAACATATAATTTATTTTACCAATACTTCAGCTGACTAAACGCCAACCTTTTTCAAGGTATTATAACATATTAATGTGTGTCAAAAACAAGCTCAGCGCCACATAACGTCAATTTCAAAAAGATTATTCAATAAAATAATACCTTCTATCAATATTTAGTAAAAAATTACCAGGTAAAAGTATATTTTCAAAAACCTTTTTTATCTCTAGCTTTCGATATTAAAATTTTATATCTACAGAATTTTAATAAAATTATGTAAATAATATCCGATAATATTTCAACTCGTGTTGTATTGGCGAATCATTATATCATGTTTTCTTCTGTAGATTATGTGAGGACCAGTCAACAAGTGAATGACTTTGAGACGAAGAGTAAAGCCAGTTTAATTTCTATGTAAATAATACAAGATGTGATCATTACCTTACTCAATTGGGAGAATCTGTATGGGGTAAGTCCCTAATAAAGGCTTTTGTGTGTGTGTGATTTCTTCTGTAGAAGGACGTTCGTGCCCGAAAGCTAGAAAATAAAAAGGTTTTTGAAAAGATACTTTTCCCTGAAAAAAAGGCCTGATATTTTTACTCAACATTCACATAGATATAAATAAATTCATTTTAAAAGGATGAATCACCTGAACTGTTTTTTACTGCTAATTTGAATCCTAAAAGGGGCTCACAATCTGCCAGGTGTTGGCACAATGGCCTATTGAATATAACATATGGTGAGTTACAATCCAGACACGTCTGAAATTTTATACAGGTATTTATAGCATATTTTCTCTAAAATATAAATAGTCTAGTGTAAGTTGGCATTTATAAAACAACGTTCTTTCAATCTGACCATAAATACTCTCTTTTGAAAATTATTATCGTTAGTAAACGTGTTATAGGCAATGATCATAATGATGGGTAGTAGTTGGTAACTGCTTTTACTGTAAGTGTTCTACATATCTACACATATTGATATCAGTTCGACTTTTCACTTACAAGTTTACCAGAGTCCGGTTTGATTATTTGCACTAATTGGTGAGGTTTGACTTTTTCAAGAATCGGGGAAATTTGGAGAAATTATTCAGAGCTCAGAGCTCTGCGAACTTTCTTAGGTGGACGTGATTTTGAAGAGTACCAAAGAGTAGATTGCCATTTCTGGATTAAAATTGTTGATATAAGTTTCGTCACCAGTAATAATATTAGTACGGGATTGGATCTCAGATAGTTTCTGTCGGAAATCGACAGCTTATACTACTTGTCCACCAATTCACACTTTCCTAAATATGAATAAAGAATATTGATGAGTTCACAAGAAAAATTAAGTGTCCATGGTTTATGTAACGATACTCTAATGGATAACTGATTATTTTTTTCACACCATTTGCATGTGTAACAAGCTTTGTGTTTATTTGTGTAAAATATTTGATTATTTTTTTATTTTTCTTATGTATTGGGCAGTCGGCAACACTGTACTTTTGGTATTTTGCATAAGTTTTTTTGTTGATATATATATTTTTTGATTAACCTTGTTTTAATCGGGCAAAATAAGGAACACAAGGTATTGTGAATATCTCTTATTTTTAAATAGGAAATGTTGCAGCATGTAAACATATAATGATATAAATATTCAATATCAGACATGCCAAATAGAGATGAGCTGTCTTAGATATGCAAGATAGATATTCTTAAGATTCATGATTAGTAAGATTTAGAAAAAGAAATTAGCTATTTTTCAAGAAGAATTTCGAAATAATTGCTATTAGAATCATTCAACCTTTTATTTTGTGAGTAAAACGAAGTCATATATGATTTTCATGCAGTATTAAAGGATATCGGAAATTGCATAGAGAGTAGAAATATACAGTTTCCAAAACAAAAGGAATTTCTAGAGATCTAGGTATAATTATTAAACTTGAAAATTGTACTTAATGGTACGGTTTCTAGCAACAATGAACCACTATATTCCAACTCTATATATATAATACAACTCTAATTTTACTTTTACTCTAAAAAACTAAGGAATATAATAGACCCGGTTTCCAGTTGAATTTGATAGCTTCTTGTATCTTGGATAAATCAAATTATCCGAAGATGCCAGAATATCATTATCCAATTGAACAACGGCATGCATAAGTCATTGTGTAAATTGGAAAAGTTCAACGATATGAAATCTTTGTAACTATTGTGATGATATTTTAGACAGTGATATACAAGTTATTTACAGGATTTACCGTGGTGTTTGTGTGATGCTTGTGTAGTATGCATGGTGTGTGTGGTATTTTTTGACAATTAAAATAATTCCATTGACTGTCAGTCAATGTAACAACTCAACCAGGAGGGTGAAAAAGAAATATTTACATTTGACAGTTGTCAGGAATCAAGGCATCGCCGCCTAAGACTGGCCAAATCGGAGCTAACATCGGGATGGTTGCCCCGAGCCAGTTCTATGGCCGAGCTGAGGAACTCAGCGAGGACTCCCCTCATCGCAGGTGTCAGTCTCGCCATGAGGGACTCTCTTTCGTCGATGAAGAGAGTGGCATCCTTGAGGTCATTCGGTTGGATCCCTGATTGATATAAGGGCCTTAGGCAGGTTAAGTGCTTCAGTTTCTTGAAGATTTCAATAACCATACACTCCTCCCTCATGATCGGCGTCATCTCCTCCTCGTCGGGAGCAGGTGGTGTCGGCCCGGCAGGCTGAGGCGCGGGCAGTGGGGGTGTTGGAGGCACTGCGGCTGGCGAGGTCTTGAGCGCCGCCCTAACCTGCCCGAGGACTTTGTATATGTTGGAGTTTCCTCCGGGCTTCAGGCCCAAGAGCTGACGGATTAAGCCGGCGAGAGCGTCGCCCTGCGAAGGTGACAGGAGGGGTCCCCGCTTTCGAGCCTTGGTCTTCGAGGAGAGGAGGTCCAAGACCTCCTCCCGCCCTAGGCCAAGGGCGTCCGTCTGGGCGAAGGAGACGCCCGGGTTCCTCTCCAGGAAAGTCACGAGGCCTTCTCTCGTTGATGTTCCCGACGAGGAGGTGGAGGATGTCGATGTCTCCTCGATTGACATCTCAACGTCCAGTGTAGGGACTGCAGGCCCGTGACTCCCAGGTGCCCGCAGGGACGGAGCAGGGGTCACAGGTGGAGAGGCAGGAGGCGCCATCTCCATAGGTACGGCCGGGGCCACTGGTGGAGATTGCCGAGGTGCTGTGGATGGAGTCACAGCTCGGGCCGTAGTAGAAGCGCCGGGGATCTCCATGGCTGGACTGGAGGGTGCCGGTGCGGGAGGCTGGGCTGCTGACCTCTGAGGCGGAGCAGGAGTGGTAGGTGGTGGGGCGCCAGCAGGAGAGGCTGGTGGGGCCAATCTGGTGTTGTTGGCTCGCCCTGCAAGCAGGGGGCAGTTGGCCCGGCGATGTCCTTGGCCGTGGCACCTGGAGCACTTGATGCCCGAGGACAAATACGCGGGCCAGGCCTCGCCTTTAATAGGGATCTCAAGGCGGGTGGGGAGCCTCTCAGTTGTTATTCCTTCGCGGAGGACAATGAACGCCTCGCGACGGCCGTCGTTGTAGGTGTATGGGCAGGCCTTCATCAGTTTGGGCGCAATTGATGTTACGCGCCCATAAGGTTTTAGGGCGCTGATGATGGCGGAGTCCTCCACGAAGAAAGGGAGGTTGCCCACTGTTATCCTTTCCGCTCTTTTGCGGAAAGGAAAGGCCCTGAGGAGTGCGCCCTCAACCTCGAGGCCCTCGTTTATGAGGCGCTCGGCCAGGCCTCTGTTCGCCAGTCCCAGGAGTTGGTGGCCGTTCACCTTGGAGACTTGGATGACTCCGGCGGTTCCTCCAAGCATCCTGTCGAGCGCCCTCAGGTAGTGGAAGGGCTGTAGCTCGGGGCCGTGCTCCAGGTAGATGCAATGTTCCTCAGAGGAGGATGCCTGCCGCGCCCGGGCCTCTGTGATATGGGCCCTGGTTGTTCTTATCTCCTGTGCCCGCGGCACAGATCCTGCCGAAGATTGTGGTCGGCGACTAGTCCTAGCACCTCCGATGTTGGAGGATGGTGCAGCCGCTGTAGGCGAATTCGTCGATTCGCGGCGCCTCTTCTTACCCTTGACGACGGTAAAAGCGTCGTCCGGTTCAGGGCCCAAATCTTCAATGCAGTCCGCCCAGTTTCCCAGGACACGGGCACCGCCATTGGATGATGTACCGGCCGGCAAGCTGAGCGTGACGTCACGCCCGGCGGCCAGATTTACATCTCTAACGCCTGCCGGCGGATTTGCATGATTGCGATTTTCAGAATTTTCTAAGATTGTCTTCTGAATCCCGTCCTTCTGTAATTTCCTTTCACCAGTTGGAGATGGGATGCTGGGCCTTCCAGGCTCTATTCCAGCAGATCCCGAGGTCCCTGGCGATGCCGAACTCGGCATGCTTAGATGCATTTCACCGCTCGCCAGAGGCGAAAAACACGGAGCTCGCGCGACGCGTGGCCGCACGGCCGAGTGTGTGTGTGTGTGTGACAATTGACAATTGGAAATAGTTTATTGTCTTCTAGACAATGTTACATCTCAACCAGGAGGGTGAAAAAGAAATATTTACATTTGACAGTTGTCAGGAATCAAGGCATCGCCGCCTAAGACTGGCCAAATCGGCGCTAACATCGGGATGTTTGCCCCGAGCCGGTTCTATGGCCGCGCTGAGGAACTCAGCGAGGACTCCCCTCATCGCAGGTGTCAGTCTCGCCATGAGGGACTCTCTTTCATCGATGAAGAGAATGGCATCCTTGAGGTCATTCGGTTGGATCCCTGATTGATATAAGGGCCTTAGGCAGGTTAAGTGCTTCAGTTTCTTGAGGATTTCAATAACCATGCACTCCTCCCTCATGATCGGCGTCATCTCCTCCTCGTCGGGAGCAGGTGGTATCGGCCCGGCAGGCTGAGGCGCGGGCAGTGGGGGTGTTGGAGGCACTGCGGCTGGCGAGGTCTTGAGCGCCGCCCTAAATGTCGATGTCTCCTCGATTGACATCTCAACGTCCAGTGTAGGGACTGCAGGCCCGTGACTCCCAGGAGCCCGCAGGGACGGAGCAGGGGCGACAGGTGGAGGGGCAGGAGGCGCCATCTCCGTAGGTATGGCCGGGGCCACTGGTGGTGATTGCCGGGGTGCTGCAGGTGGAAGCGCAGCTCGGCTTGTGGAGGGCACTTCGGAGACCTCCATGGCTGGACTGGGGGACGCCGGTGGTGGAGGCTGGGCGGATGGCTGCTGAGGCAGGCCAGGCGCAGACGCTGAAGGGACGCTGTTAGGAGAGGTAGGTGTGGCCGGTCCAGGAGCGTTGGTTCGCCCCGCAAGCAGGGGGCAGTTGGCCCGGCGATGTCCTTGGCCTCGGCACCTGGAGCATCTAATCCCGGAGGATAGGTATGCGGGCCAGGCCTCGCCTTTGATGGTGATGTTGAGACGGGTGGGCAGTCCCTCGATGGTCATTCCTTCGCGGAGGATGATGAACGCCTCTCGGCGGCCGTCGTTATAGGTGTATGGGCCCGCTTTCATCAGCTTGGGGGCGATGGATGTAACTCGCCCAAGAGGTGTAAGGGCGCTGATGACGGCTGCATCCCCCACGAAGAAGGGGAGGTTGCCCACCGTTATTCGCTCCGCCCTCTTGCGGAACGGGAAGACCCTGTGGAGTGTCCCCTCCACCTCGAGGCCTTCGTTGACGAGGCGCTCGGCCATGCCTCTGTTTGCCAGTCCCACCAGGAAGTGGCCGTTCATCTTGGTCACTTGGAAGACCTCCCTGGTGCTCCCAAACATTCGATCCATGGCCCTCATGTAATGGTAGGGCTCCAGTTCAGGGCTGCGCTCTACGTAGACGCAGTGGTCTTCTGTTGAGGACGCCTGCCGCGCCCTGGCCTCCACGATGTGCGCTCGGG